TAACTTTTTAATTTCTGTTTACAATAATGACGTCCAGAGAAATCAATACACAGTTTAATAATTAAAAACTTTTTCGAAGTGGTTAAATAGTGACCATATACGCGTTAGTTATATAATAATTTAAATAATTTAGATTGCTATGGTTAATTGACATAGGTTAGTACGGTCAATACAGGCGTTCTGGTCATAAATTATATGAATATATGATTTCTCTGAAAGACAATAATATTCAATGAAAAATTTATAGCAAGTCATTTGTTAACTTTAAAATACTTTTGCAAAAGAACAAATGCTTCGTTTGCAAGTCCTTTCTATCAAAAACAATCTCACTTATAAATATTTTTTCGGTTTAAAAAATGAAAAATAATATTCGAAAAAAAAACTCAAATTTTTTGGGTATTTTGTAAATTTTTGCCGAAATTCTTGATGTTTACTTAATAGCGAAAAATGAAACGAATTCGTGGATTTATTACATAATTTAAAATAGGCTTATACCTACCTGGGCAATAAATCAGTAATTTTCCTTTTAAGAAATAGTTTATGATCAAAAGAAAAAAAAACTTTTCCAGAAATAATTCTTTAAATCTTAATATTATTGCTCTGATATTTCTTATCGTTATAACTATTTAGAAATTCTAAAATGCATTAAATTTTCACATTTGAAATCTTTTACAGCAAGAAAAAATTATTAATATTTTTTGTTATTTTCTATGATTGAAATATGGATTGCTTTATTGTTTGACACCGAATTGCGCTATATTTCAAATAATCTACAGAAGAAAGAGCTTAATATTATTGTTTTTTCCTAAATTTGGCAGTGTCAATTCTGAAATTAAATGATCTGAAATAGAATATTTGTTTCCGGAAAAAATTCCTCAGGAAATAATATCCAGAAGAATATTATTGATTGATTATTGCATTTTAAGAAAATTGATGCTTTGGAATATTTCATAATTTTCAGGAAGATGATTTCCATTGTATTCCTCCTCTATAAGCTACTATTTTCCATTTCCGCTCCCTTTCAGCTTTTCTTCTCTCTCACTGAGATTGAAACTGTGCATCTCTCTTTACTTTCTTCAATCATTCGATGATTAATTCAACAAACAAATGTAAGCAACGAATTGTTAGAAATGCATTTGCTCGAGAAGTACTGAGAAGAGCGCAATTTACCAACATCCCAAACATGCCCCAATTTTTCCCTGCTTAATTTCTACAAACTGCAAAGCTTGTTTTACATCTCAGCATCAATCTAATCTACCTGTACATTTATTTACTTTCTCCTTTACCTTTCTTTCTCTCTCTTTTCTCCTCTTTCTATAAAATTATACATTCTTGTGCAATTTGTCAGTAATTCAACTAACTTTCGGCTTATTAAATCGATTGATTACCTTTAAATCAATCGTTGTTCATAAATAATTATCCCTAAATATATTTAATGCTTGAAGAGCAGCGAGATCATTGGATGACCTTTTCATGTTAGTTCAACAACACAGTTTTCATCGAGCTATTCAGTAACTCTGCAGTCATCCAATGATTCATTATTGGACAAATTATCTGCTTGTTATTTTCACTGTAAGGTCAAAAAAGGTTAAATGGCAATGAATAAGAACTTGCCAAATTCATAAAATTTTCAAGTCTATACAACAATATTTTTGCATTCTAAATCATTCATTTTTCATTTGAAATAAACGTAGCAGTTTTCAGCAGACTTATAATTTTAAAAAAAAAAGAAATTTTCGTTTATTTTTACCACAGTGTTATTTTGAAAGCGATGAGATATGTATGAAAAAGATTTACAATGGTGGACATGTTGAATTTTGTATAATTACATAGTTTAGATTTGTTTAATCCTTAAATAATTTCTCCTACAAAGTATTCTTTGATTGATCAGAGAGGAACCATTAATATAACATATGAAGTTCCGTCTGTTTTCTTTAGCGTCAAAAATAATGACAGATGACATTTAAGTCAAAATTGCGAACGCTAATTATAAATTATCCATAAACTTTTAGCATTTTCTATGTTTTAGTCGAATTAAATCAATCCTAATGTTGTCTAAGCACGGTGAAATGCAGTTTTCTTTCCATTCTGAGTTATTATTTGATTTCTTTTTTTCATCCTTCTTTTTATGGTGCTAACAAACAAAAAAACGTCAAACAAATTCATATTAATTATACCTATAAATATCAACGAAGTCAAAGATTGCTTACTTCTTCAAAATTCTCAAAAAAATTGTCCATACAAAAAATTAAATTACCAATTCTTTTTCGCAAAAAATAAAATTCCTTAACGCATATTTTTTAACAAAAAAATGTAAATTATTAGATCAGCGCATTTATCGAAAAATGTCGATTTTCAATTGAGTTTGAGAGTTGCCTTACCAACCAAAAATATCGAAAACACATATTAAAATATTTCCTATTTCCAAGTAAATATATCTTTCAACAATAAACGACAGGAAGAACTCTCTTTTAATGTACTAATAACTGAGACTAAAATATGAGAATGTTTAAAGGAATTTGAACAACGTTGCTTTGCAGCGATTTTGGTAATAACATAATTATGTTAATAACTATATTTGTCAAGATCATCATTATCCTTCAACTATCGCATCTTCTCTTATTGTTATCTTTATTTTCACAATCACTGTTGTTATGATGTTATTATTCAAACGTGTTAGTGCATTTTTGTTATCATCACTATCCAAACTTTTACTGAACCCAATGTTAACCAAAGTAATATATTTTGCGTTTTCTCGATTTATCAACCCTTTTTTTATTATATGTTGAACTGATCTAAGCAATCAACCAAAAAGGCTAACACTTGTTTGAATTTCAAATATCATTTAAATTAAAAAAAACTTTTGTTCTACAATTCCATCGAAAAATTAATAAATAACTTTTTTTTGGTCATTGCGCTGGGAAGATAACAGGGAACAAATTTTTAGCACAATAATGGGAAGAAAATAAAAATTATTTATTAAGTGGTTACAAATTAATTACTGGATTTGCTAAAAAAGTGCCGTATGAAGATGTCAAAATCATTTCTAAAGACACTGAGGTCAATATTTAAAAATCACTTTGACATCTTTATCGCTCTAGAAAATACAAAGATGTCCTACGATAAGGTAATTTCAAATTTTCCGCAAAAAAGAGTACTAATTTTAGAAAATGATTGCAATGAAAAGATATGCAAACAGATAAGCAATACTGTATGACAGCGACATTTTTTGCTCGCATTTGTTCTTAATTAAATTACAAAGAAATAATTGTTTTTCAGAACTTATGTCTGGCCGTTGTGTAAAGCAACTGGCATTTATGAAATTAAAGATTTCTCGAAAATAGTATTGACTAATACATGTAGAAGTGGCGATCTTCGGGGACTCCGCTTTCCATTTTTGTTTGACATCCTTCGTCTGTTTAATCTCATCGCATGCATATAAAATTTCAGAAATCGAATGTTTAAAAATGAGTATTTAAAATCATACTATCATAGTTGTCAAGTGAAATTTAGGGTGTTACCATAAATTTAAGTTAAAGTTAATTCGTTTATTTGAATATTACTCAAACGTTAGAATTTTTCTGGTTCATTTCTTTTAAGTTACAATTCCAACATTAAATTAATGCGCACATTTGTTCTTTTTTCTGGAAAGTTTTGAATTATCTTTTTGAATGTGATGGATGCAATTCATCTCCATCGAATACACTTTGCGCCGCATGTACAAATTACGCTTCTTCTGAGGAATGATGCATTAGTCAGTGATGGTAATTGTCATCTCGAATTGTTGAATGAAACTTTTTTCGAACAACGGACAAAATGTAATCGTTTGGCGATGGTTAATTTTTACAATTCATTTCAATAATAGAGAAAGATGAAGAAAGAAAATTGGATTAAATTGTAAAATAAACAATTAAATGATTGCCCTTTTTTTTGAAAGAGAGAAGCTGACATTAATTACTACGATATGGGCGCAATGCTGTACTGTTTGAACGATTGATTCAATAATTTGATTAGAGTTGAAATTGTAAATATTCTATCTGTACGAATACCGAAATTGTGCCAATAATTCGTTGTCGCCATCAATATATACAGGAGGAAAAAAATCAATAGAATATTTTGGAATTATTAGGATGGAATAGAATAGAACAGAATAAATGGAACGAATAAATATCGATCATTTCGAGGCATAAAGGGAGGATTGGGATTATTGACATCATTGTAGATTGTAAACGGATCGATGAGTAAGAGGTGAAAGGTCTGGAAGTGGAGAACAGAGTTGAGGTGACAGTGAATTAAGGGACGGATAGAATGCCGGAAACTGGTTTTTCACCGCTCCATCGTTCCTTCACTTCACCATTTCGTCTTTCGCCTCAGAAGACGAAAACTCTGTTCTGTGGGAATAAATGCTTTCAATATGATCGATTTCTCTTCATATCTTTCTACTTATGTATTCAGGAAAGTAATGATGGATAAAAATTGAATGATGAAAAATCAAGAGAAGTAGGATTTCTCGGATCAGTTATTCGGTGTTAGAAAGTTAATCATTTCCGATCTGAATCTTATACCATTTTCTTAGTTTTTATCATCGATATTTCATCTATTACATTACATTTTATCTGTAATTCAATCTTTTTATTTTCATAACTCTGTTGACCTGCATATTATATTATCTGATCTTTTATGTTTCCACTGACTTTAAATTATTATCAATAACCCCAATTCAAAAACTTTTTAAAACGCACTTTCATCTGCATCCAAAAATTAGTAAAACTATTTAAATTTATCTTAATTTAATGAATTATTTTTTTTAAATATCTTTTCTAGATAAAATCGGATAAACTTTTTTCATTTTTTTTTCATATTAACTTTTTTCATATATATAATTTTTCATATTTTACTTCTATTTTCCCGTTTCGAATCATTGAATTAAACTAACTATGCGCTTCTCCGAAAAACCGAAAAAATGAAATTTCGTTTTACTGGATTTGCAGATACGAAAAATGAAAATATTTACGGTTGGGATGGACGAAAAACCACCGGTTAAAGATAATCCAGTATCTCCCGATGGAGTTACCCTAGCATCAACACCAATTATTACATTCGAAAAGAAGCGAACTTCATGTAAGGTATGTGATTCTTTGAGGATTTATATAAGCCTTCATGGGCACTGATATGCAGAGTAGTTATCGATTAGCAAAATATCCAGAAGTAGACGATACAGTGTCAAAGCTTAATTTTATGGAAGGTAAAAAATGGTATTCAAAAAATTGGTTCAGTTTCAAATTATACTACGCAGGTCATTTCGCTAAAATCAGGGCCATGCTACCATGTAGCAAACATTTATTTTAGGATTCTCATATTGCGTTACTATTTTAGGATTAGATTAAACTGATATCAGTTTCTTTCCGGAATGTCTTTTCTTTCAATGAAAGCTGTTAAAATGTTGTTGTACCGATTAATTAATTCCCAAATTAACAACACTTGAGTCTTTCTTGTCCAATTTTAATTTTCAGAATTATGTGATGTGCTTGGGAATGTTATTCTTTATCGTTTTGTTTACAATTATTATCAGCAAATTGATATATTACAGAATACCCGATGATTTGGGACTGCCATGGTAATTTCTCTTATTATCTTTGCTTAGGAAGACAGCGGGAATATACCATTAGCTATTATAATAGATTTCTAGAAATTACAAAAAAATCTTTCACTGACATCTAAATATCTTTTCTTGACATTGATAAACTTGGCTTTTACGTTCAAAAGCGTCTGACCATAACTTTTGAGGGCTTAAAAATCAATATTTTGATATTTTATTTATCAATAATTTCAGATCTTTTGAAATCCATTGCATTTAGCAATTTGTAAGAAATATCAATAGCTGCAATTAAAAAAAAAGAAATTTTACCTTAGCATTTACTTGGATTACTTTCATCTTTGTATCCAAGCTTTCTTTATTCTAGTCTAATGGAAATTTAGAAGATCTAAAAATTGTTTATTTTTGGAAACTTTTAAATTTAGGTTTGAAATGAGACATCGAAGAGTGGGATGTGACATTATGAGTGCTAATATGATTCAGTCGTCCTATCCACAACGGTAACATTTTTACAGTGATAGGAAAATGCTACACCATTGCAAAAAAATCTAAACGAAATTTGAAATGCAGAAAGATTTCATAAACAACAAAAGGATCCTTCCTTTCCCAAATCATTTGACCGTTGCAAAAACATAGAAAACTGTAATTTATGAATTTAATAAATAGTTTTTTTTTTAAAGTTATTTAAATCCATTAATTGAAAAAAGTGCCGCTTTGGGAGGAAACAGAAACGATGGGGAAAATAATATCCAAGCAGCATATAGCAAATGCAATACAGTTGCCGGTTCAACAGCATTGGTTTTATAGATCTTCAAGAGTTTTTGAAAATTCAAACAATGCAGCAGCAGCGTTAGCAGTGCAGGCAGGACAATCTCAAACAAATGGACAGGAGGCATCGACCTCATCACCGTTACAGCATTTCGAGTCGGGGTCATCAGTTGACCTATCACAAGCTGTAGTAAGGCCCTAACATTTCTTCTTAGTTCATTATAAAAAGCAAAAATGACAACAGATTATGTCATTATTCCGAATCAAATGTAATCTTCACTGCAACATTCCATACAATTTCGCGCTGATAATGTGCAGCTATAGAAAACCGTAAAATAAGGTCATAGTGCTAACTGCAAAATATGCCATTCATTTCATCTGCGAAACTGCCTGTAATATTTGCATGTATTAGTCGATTTGAACAAGCTTTTGTCCTCAGTATAACAATTACTGCAAATAATACCAAATATTGTTGAGAACATAAGGAAAAATATAATTTAGAGATTCAGTGATAGCAGCTTTTTCTCAACTTTAGGATTCTCGTTTTGACTTTTTGCGCAAAATTATCCCAAAAATCAAAGAGCAAGCAGAAAAATCTGGCATTGAAGGGGTCATGCAGGTAAAGGTGTTGCAAATGGATTCACTGGAGCCAAGACAGGTGAATGTTATGCCAACTTCAATGAAAACGATTCTTGTCAACATAAATTACTAACATATTGTTTAATTATATTTACATCTTTGCGAGGTATACTTTACTTTCACTTAACAATAATTTTGGTTTAACGTATATGGTCTTGTATTAAACAATGATAAATTATTAAAATTGCGTAATTAAGCCATTATAGTTGTTCGGCGGATCAGATGAAAATCAACTTCGATCAGGAATCAGTACGATGCAGTCGCGTGATTTCATGGTACCTTCCCGTCCAACTCTATTGTCTGACCTCTTGCGATGGAATATTGTTGACAATAATGAAAAGTATGGACGGAATTTTGCAAATTTGCAAAAGTAAAAAAATAAATAACCAAATATTAAAAAAAATCAAAAAAAATAAAAAAAATGTCAACGATATCTTGAAATATTATGTTTCGTTTATGCATAATGAAGTCATGGAAAAAATTCTCAAAGCCATTAAATCGAAACTGTTCAAATTTATATTTTTTAGTCAAATATCGAGAAATCAACTCTTCGGAACACAGCAAGATGACACAGCTAAAAGTGGACCGATGCTTGTATTGGGACCATTTTTGCAACCACAACACTTACAGTTATTACCTGGTGCCTGGGATAATGACAATAATTTAGCGTGGAGCAATTCATTGCAATCTCATCTGTTTGATTTGGCCCAACAGATCAATAGACAACAACAGTGGAGTAGCCTTTGGCAGTGGCTTAACAAGAACAGTAATGAGAAAGTTAATCAATGGCAAAATATGCAATGGTCAAACACTAACCTGATCACACCTGTACTTCAACAGAATCCCTTACCTGTAGGGGAAAATGGTAATCAATGGTCAGATCACCGTTTGGGAAGTAACTGGCAAAATAGTATTCAGAATGGAGCAAGTAATAATCAGTGGCCACAAAATGAATGGGCGGGACAAGGACAACAACAACAGTCTTGGTTTCAGTATCCTCAAACATGGCAAGCGAGTATGAATCAGAACCAGTATCAGAGCAAAAATGATTGGAACATTCAGAGGGTAATCCATTCTGAATATCTGTCAACAATTACCTTCACAACAGACTCTGTTTTAGTACCATACGAAAAAATTTCTATTCAGGATCAATAAATTAGCTAATAAAGTTTTTGTTTTGAAATATACTTCCTGAATTACTCATCTTTCCATCTGCACTCATATCTCCTAAGAATAGCGCGATGATAACAATTAATGATTTTTCTAAAACTGCCTTTTTAATGTGCAACTGAAAAGAACCATTCTCATTTTAAATCATTTAAAAAAAAATCAACAATTATTACTGTAATATAGAAAATTATAGCTATTGAGGATCCGTCTTATAATTAACATTTGAGAGGAGTGTTTTTAATTGTACATTGACTGTTTTAGCTTTGCTGTTTAACTTTATTAAATATTGGTGACGAAAGACTTTGTTAAACATTGATGACGACCATTTTCAGGCAAATATTATAGATAATTTGGATGGGCGAATGACACAAGCTGTTTTGCCAAATGATAACGTTAACAGTGAAATTTACAACAGTGATGCAAATGATCAGTGGAATCGATACTATATCCAATGGCACACCAATAACCAACGGATACAACAGCAGCCGATTGTAAACAGTGTTGTTAGCCAATCACTTGAAATGACAGGATCTGTACTGCCTCAACAAATTCAAGATCAAACTCTTGGACAACAGCAACCTCAAGTACCTTTCTAATTTCAACATTAGGAATATTGTACTGATTATTTGTTGAAATTATTTAGGTAAGAATTTCAAAAATTTTTTTCTCATTGTTTTACAGATAACAGATTCATTGCAAAGCCAAACAGTTCTGGAGCAGCAAATTGATTCTCTATCTTCTCAGGCTCAACAGCAAAAGGAACAACCGCAACCAATACAACAATTTCCTAATAAGCCGGTAAATACTGTTTAACGATATTCCATGTCATTATATCACCTTACAAAGGAGCATTGAAAAATACCATATAATAGCCATGTTGCTATTGCAGATTCAATCAGAGATCAATACAATTCCAAACGAAGCTTATCATCAAAATCCAAGTGTACCAGTTGTTTCTAATCATCCAGATGATAATGTACACCGAACGCCTGCACCATTTATTTTTAACAGTGACAAGTGGAAAAAGGTTGAAAATCCCAATCTTTTAAGCAGACCAATAGTAAGTACTGTATTAAGTACTATCGACTATCTATTATGTACAGTAATAGCAAAAATGAAAATGAAAATCTTTACACGTTTTATATTTGGCTTAACAGCTGCTGAATCTTATTATTGCTTATTTCCAGAATGATAATCAAGAGAACCTACAATTCCTGCATCAACAACGACCACAATTACCGATTCATCCAATTGGGAATATGTTAAGTGATAACATCGGTGACACAAAAATAATTGATGATGAACTCAGTAAAGTTCCAATTATGGAGGTTTGTAGAGTATTTCTGAACAAAAAAGAAACTTGATTAACAATCACAACAGGTGGTGGAGTCGAGGTATTTGTAATTACTGTTGGTGCAAAATGCTACTAACAGTTTGATTCGGTACTGTTGACACAAAGTAGAATGTTCCTTTGAAAATCAAAATAGTATCCTTGCTGCATTATTTAATTTTCTTGCATTTCTTTTTCAAAGTTTTTTTCCGAAATTTATTTCAGCAGTCAGGATCGATGAACGATATCAATCGCGGATTATCAAATCCAATACTATTTCAAGTTGATGAGCCACCGCCACAATCCGCTAGTATGGATAATAATTTCGCTAAATAAATACACCAATATTAGCAATAGCTGAGAACGAATGGCCTAAAGAAAAGATTAAAGTTGCCCATTTAATGCCTTATTATTTTTAATTCTGTTTTTTCCTCTGATTTTACTAAATTATCATTTCGTCCAAAATAAATTCACTATCCTATGATTTTGTGATCAATGGTTCAACCAATTCAAACCATTCATTTCTGTATAATCTTAATTAGAAATACTACTGTAAAGACTATCCCTGAATGCAATATAATTTACAGCGTTGTTCTTCTGTATTTTATTATATAATTGTAGGTATTGAATACTCATATTTATTGTAGTATTTCAATTTCTCTTTCTCTTTCAGCTAAAAGGTTTTAAAATTTTTGTTTTAAGACTCGTTTATAAGTACTAAAATAAATAAACAAGTGTGAAATATAGTTCAAATGGCCGGAAGTGCTTATTAAATTTCATTCTGCTCTTTAATTCTAATGAATCTTATGCAAATGAAATATTTCCAGTTCCGTATTACATTGTGCTAGCAAATTATTCATTTTATTCACATTAAATCATCGGTGAAAAGTAAAAATATTATGAAATTTTACACGTATGATAACTCAAAAATATTTCAAAATTGCTTACAAGCCTCGTTATCCATCTTTTTCATTTCAGTGATACTTCGGTTCTTACTAATGATATAAGACAGTCATTTTACAATTTTTTCCTTTTCATTTGAAAAGTTCTTTGAAGGAAAATTATCTGCAAAGATTATGACACACTGACATTTTTTTATTTGCAAATTCCATTACAGGCGAAAATTCTATACAGCTAACTGAATGCAAGTATTTGAGTGTCATAGGGTATAAAATTTTAAAGAAATTAACAAATTTTAAATGATATTGATTAAAACTGTAATACAAAAGCCCATTGAATTATCAGCATGCGTAGAAAAATTGACGTTTAACGGACAATTTGAGCATCACATGCCATGGAGAAAAAGATTGAAGAGCGATTAGCAAGCAGATTCTGTGGTGTGTCGAATTCTCGTATGAAACCATTTTCAAGGACTATAATCCTGAAAGAAGGCAAACTTAAAGATTGCAAGATGGAATTATATGCGAAATAAAAATTGCAGAAGCAAAACATAGAACGTTAAGAGTTGTAGAATTTTCAGTATAGTCAGTAAAATAAATGCTGAGATTTGTTTTTAAAAAATTTTACACTTCATTTGATTTATTTAAAATGAACTAAATTACCTATCATAGTCGATTACGGTGTTTAAACGATGTGCAATGGTCAGTACAGTTGAGGCGTGAAATTCACGACGAATTGTCTCCTGAATCAATAAATCAGTTGCCAGATCTACAGCAGCTGTAGCTTCATCTAAGATTAAAACTTTACTCTTACGAAGGAGTGCACGAGTTAAACAAATAAGTTGGCGTTGTCCAACGCTAATATCTTCACCTCCCTCAATGATCCGATATTGCAAGCCTATAAGTATAAGTCTTACAATGATATATTACTTAAAAGGTTATGCTTAAGTTTTTTTTCTAAATGTTTTTTTATAGCCTTATACTCTAAATTTTGGAAAAAAAACTTTAAAACTAATGATTTATGTTTTTTTTTTCAAATATTTTCTTTCCAGATCGAATTTTCGAATAAGCTGCAATCATTTTCATAATATCCTAATGTTTAAAGACAAACAAAGAAAAGTTTTCAATGAACAATCTTTAATCATTGTTAATGTATCATTTATAAGAATCATCTTATCAGTCGTTAGGAATTATCATAAAATTTTTAACAACTAGCCTTCAGCAAGACTTGAAGCGAATGTTTTCAAATGTGCCAATTCTAGAGCTGTCCATATTTCCCGATCAGAATAAGCACAAGACGGATCCAAATTAAATCGAAGTGTCCCCGAAAATAAGACCGGATCCTGAAATTGCGCCTTGTTTAGTTGAAGCAGTAGGAATGAAATTTCAAGCTATGTAAAAGAATTTGCAATGCAAACTCTTCATTTCAAGCACAAAATTAAAAACATAATTCAATTTGATGAAATTATTGTTGTAACTTATTTGTTTAACCCTTAATTTAATTTCTAATAACACAGAAACCTGTGGAATGATTGTGAGATTAGAACGAAGGTCATGTAAGCCTATAACTGAAATATCAACATCATCAATAATAATTGTACCACTGACAGGTTCAATAATTCGGAATAATGCCAGCGCTAAAGAGCTTTTACCTAAAATATGAAGTTACACGGAAATACTTTATATGTATATGAGTGTGAAATGTATCAGACAGATAAAGTGCCTTCGTTTTTGAAATGGAAAAAAAATTTGCGAGTTTTGTAATCACGGGACTACTAAAATTAGAAATATTGAAGTCAATTTTGGGTAATTTTATACATTCTAGAAAAAAATAAAAGATGCATAAGAGGCATGCCTGCGCCTGTTCGGCCAACAATGCCAATTTTTTCAGCAGGCGCAATGAAGGCATTCAATTGATGCAAAACCAAATCAAACTTAGAATGATAATGCGTTGAATAGTTTATTAACGATATCTGTCCTTTTGATGGCCAATCTTTCTTTGGCTTAAAATGATCAACTCTCCATTCTGCCTAAAAAATTTCTTTAATAATTATAAAATGATTTGATCGGACAGGAATATATGCAGCATTTTATTGAGAAAGCAATTAATAATTACGTATATTAATTATAAAAAAATTAAAATGTTAATAGGAAATCAAAAAATTCTTCAATTTGAGGAATATAAATGCAAACTTCAGTTGATGTTTCAGCATATTCATTTACACGTTCAACGGCTACAATATTCATTTCCAATTCACTGATATATCGTACAGCAAAATTTAGCGCTTCTGTAATCTGTAATGAATAAATATCATACGGAATTTGATTTAAATAAAATTTATTATCATTTAAACATTTATAGAAATTTTCTCAGCGTTATTTCGCTGTATTTTTATAACTTTCTTTTCAAAATCAGAAAAATATTGAATTTTATGGTCGGAGAAATGAATTCTAATTTTTAAACACATTAATAGAATGTATTTTATTAAAAAAAGAATTACATTTAGAGCATAGCTAACACTGAGTCCTGCAATTCCAGCACTCACTGCAACACCCCAACGTTGCCAAAGAACTGCAAACAGCGCTGCAAAGAATACAACACAATTTCCAATAAATTCTAATCGTACTGCTAACCAACGATTCGATAGGATATTGGAATATTTACAACATATGAAGCAATCAATATGTGCTTCCATTAACTTGCAAAATTCTTCCACCTGCAATACATTGCTGCTTATCTGTTGAAGTAATTTAAAATAACCTTAGCAACGATTATATCAAAAGTTAGTTTCAAAAGCTCGAAAAAAAATCAAATTAAAAATTAATCATTAAACTCAAATTCAAACTCATCTCAAAAATAGTAATTGTGGCAAAAATTAAAATAACAATATTAAATGTGTAAATTTGTTTGATATAATTTGAACCATGTAATAATTTTGTAGTTTAATAATATAGTTTTTATAGGCTTTTTGTTTATTTCACAATATGGCTAGAATAATAAGAAAAATATAACGAGGATATCTAAGAGTAATGAACAATTTATTATCTTTTAAGGCACTGTAATTTAGAGAAAATCGAAAGAGCAAAATTTTAAATTTCATCTTGCATTTGTGAAGTTAATATCCATAGCTAAATTAATACAAGACATTCAATTTGAATAACTGAAATAACTGATAAGCATTTGAAGATAAATGTAGCTCAAAAAAATTACCTCATCAATGACTATTTTAATATTTTGGTCTTGATTATGTAAACAGTAATAAAGTATTCTTGTGCTGAGCTTACCTTTTCGAACGCTCTTATGCACGTAAGCCCTCGAATTGTTTTTTCGAAATGCTGATAAATTGGTGAACGATTAATACTTTCCAATCTTTTGATCTGTCGCGAAGTTGGAACATAGAAGTACTGCAAGCGATAATATTAAGATTGAATTTTGCCGAAAATTTTCAATTAAAAAATGATTAATGCTGACATAAAAAAAAAAACAAACAAATCTGTGCAAATAAAATAAACATACCAGAGAAATGAAATACAAAAATGCAAGGAGTACAATGATAATAGAAAAAATAGGTGTCGACATAATTATTATAATTAATATTGCCATGACATTTTCAATACAATAAATGAAATAACGAAAACTCGTTGGCAATGATTGATCGATCACATCGATATCCTACAATAAATCGGCAATCAAAAGATTTTACATCAGATTTTTCATCTTTGATAGCTATTATTTTAAATTTCTTAACTAAAACTTTTTTTTTTGAGAGCAAGGAATGTAAGAATAAATATATATGTACAAAACAAAATATTGAAAAAAAAAGCCTGATGAAATTGAACCTACTCTTATCACACTCAGCTAATCGAAAGAAAAATTGTAAATTCTAATTCAATTTTCATGAGGCATGAAAGGATGCAAACCTTGCCAAGTCTATTCAAAATACGTCCAATCGGTGTCTTATCAAAGAATGACATCGATGAACGTAACAAACGGTGTAGCAACGGTGCATGAAGATTTTTCGATGCTCGAAGACCACTTATCACCAAAAATACTACCGCACCAAAGAAACAAAGGCCTTGAAAATGTACGCAATTGATGTATTGTCTCTTTTGTTCATTTTATCATTGATAAATTTCAGCAATAAATTGCATGATATTAAAGAATTAATACTATAAATTGCTCTAAATTTTATTGAAAGTATTATTGATGAATTTAGCAGAATCTCCATTTTCCAACTTTAATAGTGAACTGACTTTTTTAATTACTTTTCTAGCTTAACCTCAGCTGTAACATAAAAAAAGCCAAGATCCAGAAAAGTTGTTGCTTCTTCTGACTAACCTTCAGCGAAGCCAAGAGAAGCATATATCCCAAGATGTACTCCAAGCGAAAATTGCTTAATCTCTGAACCGTTTGACGCTACATCATTTGAATTTGACCAAAAAAAAAAATTATAATTTTATAGTGATAGATGAAATTGAGTGAACAGTAAAATTACAAAACTGACCATTGGTTTGCTCAAGAATTCATTATTTTTCATTTATTTCACTTCTTTACAAATATTCTACCGGAAAATCTCGAATAATTTCCCAACCATTTAGATAGCCATAATCCACGTCCCATTTGGAGAATTCCGTAAGATGCGAAAAGAAAGAGGAAGAGAAACGATGTTAAAAAGGTTGCCGATCGAATATATTGCATATAAACATCAAATTTCACCTCAAACATTTTTCCATATTATTTATTTCTGATCCGGCAATGGACTTATGACAAGGCAAGACAAATCTTCGGAAGTTATTAAAGTATTTCAATTTCAATTATATTATGCCTAAACAAGGATATGCAAACAAACTTATTTAAGTATTTAAATTTGAACATTCAATAAACGTTTTTATTCTGTTCATTCTCCAAAGTTTGCTATTTTCTTCAAAATACTTTAGATAAAACCTACCCTGCCAATTTCGACCTTCTCAACTGTAGTCGATTGAGACTCTCCTTCCTTCTTATCATTATTTATCGAACTATTTGAAGATTCAGGAAGCGATTTCGTTACGGAAGGACGATGAAAAATGCGTGATAATTCTTTACCCATCGTTGCTGGCATTGAAATTCGTCTTAAAAAATGAAAACTTTTCCACCCTTCGATTAGATTAACTCAAAAATTAACTAATTTTTGAGTAAAATGAATGTAATGGAAAAAAGATTCCACTTTGCAATGTAAAATTAAAAAAATTCTATTTTTTAATGCAACTTATACAGCAATGAAATGTAATAGAAAGGATAATATAGTGTTGTGATTTGGAAAAATTTTCGAATTTTCAACCGAATTTAAAATATCTGCTTTACTAAATCAGCAGAAGAAATAATGAAGCTTACCGTTCAAGCTTGTCAGTACTTGCATTATTGACATCCTCAACTTCGGATTCTTCACATTCTGCAACAAACTGAAATGAGAATTTTAGTCAAGCATTGTAAGTTTCTTTCAAATGGCCCCCTCAACGGCATGATTGTATATTGCCATCTCAATTTGTGTTGGGAAAAAAAATTATACTTCGAATAAAAAGCATAGTAATTTTCAAATTTTAAAATACTCGATGAAATTTTGAAATTATATTTAGAAAAACTGAAAAGAAATACTAATTGAATGTGAACTGTCATCATCGAATAATGCTAAATCATTTGTTTCACTTTCTGTCTTCCGTTCTTGCTCTTTTTCATTTTCATTCTGACATGCTTCGATAAATTTTGAAAAACTCTCGGATTGTTCGAGTAATTTTCTATATGGACCGTATGCAGCCAATTTACCATCTGTAAATTATTGCTAAAATATTTCCACTTCATTATTTTCGTTTAAATAGCATCAATACATCATGCGTTATTTATTCGTTATATTTGAAACAATTTAAAGTAAAATTTGAGTTTATTGAAGTGAGAGAACTTATTGTTAATTCAAACTTTCTTTATTACTCGAATGATAATATATCTCTTCATATTATATTCACAAATTTAAGATTCAATAAGTCACCTTGCATATAAGCAACAGTGTCAACTTTATCCAAATATACCAAATTATTCGTCACCAGAATTCTTGTTTTATGCTCTAATAATCCATTGTGACCAATTACCTGTCAACAAGAATAAAAGTTCTATTCATTTGCATACAGAATTATTAAAATACTGAATAAATCTATGTATATGTATGCAAATTTGATTTGATATGAGGAATCCCTCACTATCCCTCTCCCTCTCTTTCTCATTTGATAATTTCAATATTCCAGCTAGAATTTTTCCATCTTTCATAAAAAAGAAAAAAAAGCAATATTTCACACCTTTCAATACATCTGGAACAATCCAAAAAAATAAACGCAGTTGTTCAACGTGTTCTTTGACGTGTTCCTTTCACGTTAAAGATAATGCAAAAAATCTTAGGAAATTAGTACACCGGAAATTACCTTTTCAAAAATATGCTTTGCGACATGGCTATCCACTGCTGATAATGGGTCATCCAACAGGTAAATATCACGATTTTGATAAACCGCCCGAGCAAGAGCTACGCGGGCTTTTTGTCCACCGGACAGGTTGATACCATAAAAATTAATTATGACAATGAGAGGAAGAAAAAAAATGCATAACAAACTCTTACTTAATGATTTTTAATCTTTCAGTTTGAAATAATCATTTAAATCTCACTAACTTTTTCACCAATTTCAGTAGCATCTCCATTTGGTAGAACGGCCAAGTCTTTGACTAAAGCACAGGCTTCTATAATTTTATCATAGAATTTTCGATTAAATTGTTTCTCAAATAGCACGTTCTCTCGAAGACTTGAATTCTGGATCCATGGTTGCTGGTTAACAACGGCCATTCGGCCATTAACACCGATGAAACCTTTTACTTTCTCCATCTCACCTAAAATAACATCCTTCAATGAATTTATTTCATTATCATTTTCATTTTTTGTCACGTAAAATGTCTTATGCAATAAATTCTATCCATTAATAACTTTAAATATTTTCAATTTTGTGAAAGTTCATTTTTTCCAAAAAAAATGGAAAAAAATTCATAAAAATTTAAATTAACTATTTCAAAACATGCAGAAATTACCCATAATGGCACTAAGAAGGGAACTCTTTCCACTGCCAACTCTGCCAACCACAGCAATTAGAGATTTCTTTGGTATCGTGAAATAATCGATTTCTAATGCTGTTTCCAGTCCCGAAACATTCCAACTCAGACGAGCTTCTTTTATTTCAGTTGCATTTTCCGCATCTAAATTAACGTGATTAAAAAGTGTGAAATTGATCCGGTCTGAATGGTATCGAAATGTTATTTTGAATTATATGGCTTTTTTAAATTGCATCTTTTCATATAAGATAAAAATGAAACCGAGATGATCGGTGATGCGATCAATGGTTAATGGATTTAATTCATCCGCAACTAAAAAACTTTTAATTCGCTTATTTGCCACTGTTGCCTGAAATAATTGAATTCATTTATTTTAAAAATTATGGAATTCATTGCTTTTCTTAGAAAAAAACATTGCTGACATTTAGGGGAATATTATTTATAAAAAATGGAAAATTACACGGATGGTTACATTAATTATTCTAATTAATAGCACTATGCTAACAGATCTGAAGAATATCATTTCGCATGAATTCATGATTTCAAGCTACAATTAAATATTATGAAAGAAATTGAAATGAAATACACCTCCACTGCCAGTTTCATTAAATATGCAATCACTGACATTGGTGAGCGCAATTGATTGAAAAGAGTTAATGAAACAAATGCAGTTTGCGGTGTAAGAATATGAGCGGAACTTGACAGCGTATATGTTGCAAATGTTAGCATTGCCACCTGAAATTATAGCTTCTTCGAATGGTACAATATGGTAATGATGAAATAGGATTTAATGAATGAATTCGTGATTGGAATTTTATTATAAACGAATCATTTTCTCTTTTAAAACATTTTACTTATCTTCGTTTATAAATTACCATTTATAAAATTTAAAAAAAAGTCTGACTGTTACTGCTGTTAAAATTTTAGTGAAATTGTCAAGCCTAAAAAGAAATGAGTCACTCCCATGACTTTAACATTATATCTGATACTTCAAAGAGTATAAATTAAAAAAGAAAACCTTACAAAAAATGGTGAACAAGTGTTAAAAGTATCGATAAGGGCCCTTGTTAGGCCTACTTTTCGAATCAAATGGAGTTCCTTACATCGAATTCGTTCAACGACTTCTTCCATTGATGGTTCCCAAGCATACAATTTAATTACTTTTATACCATTCAATATTTCATTACAAATTTTAATCCGCTCATCTTTCAACTTCATTTGTTCAGTCTAAAATGCAAAATAAAAAAAAATGTAAAATACTGAAAGAGAAAAATGAAAACTAACTTTTGTGCTGTACTTGTAGAAGAAACAATTGAAAATTTGAGAAACGAAAATGAAATTTATTAGAGAAAAAAAATAAACCGAACAAACCTGCCATTTCTTAACAATAACTGAAGTGATAACATTCAATGGCAAAAATAAAATCATAATAGTTACGCCACAAGCGGCTGATGCACCAATGGTAAAGAAAAGATATATTAAAACAAGCGTAATCTGAAAACAAAATTAAAATTTTATGCAAACAAATGTGACGATAAGCAAGAAATTTAAATTGGTGCATAAATATATGAAATGTATGAGAATGATTAAAAATCTTACTGAATGAATAGGTCTGAAAAGTTAGCAATACAAAAAATTTAGGTGTTATGGAAAATATACAGTTATGCCGCATTGATAGTTATGGTGATACTAAATTACAACGGACTAAACAAATTAACTTCATTGTAGTATACCTGAAATGGGCATGACCAGAATTGCTGAATGTGCTGTGTAATGAACTGGAAGCTCTCGATATCAATCGCCATTAAATTTACAATTTCACCTACAGTCTTGGTTTTCCGGGCTGAATTCGACAGTCGTAAAGTCTTCAATTTGATAAATGAATAGGCAAAAATTGTGTCGAATGGACATGAAATTATCATTCTTTAATACGACAAAAGCAAAGGTTTATAATTTGAAATTCAAAATTTAAACTTTAAAATCTACAGTTTTGAGAAAAGAAGGTATTCAAAGTTGCTTTATATATTTGTAAATGCTGTAATTTCAGGTTAAATAAACCTTTCGATAAGTGGCAGCAATCAATGTGGTCTGAATTTTAGTACCCACTCGCATCATCAGATAGAAGTAGTAATTGAGAAGAAATGAACGAAGTTCAGCGCAAGCAAACATTCCTATCACATAGATCATGCCTTCCATGGAGCTGTGATTCCCAGTTGAAATGTAATTTAGTAATAAACTGCAAAAATTCTTCTTGAAAGAAGTCCTCATTTGATTCAAGAGTAAAAGGATTGAACGAATTCTCATATTATTTTATCAGTCCCATTATAGAAACTGATAAGATAATGCTAGAAACTTTCAAAAAAACTCGGAAGGACCCATCGTTGGAAAGATTTTCATTTCAGTTCTTCCATGTGTAGTTTGTCTGATTGTTTAAATCTCAGAGAACAAAGGTAATTTTAGGAATCACTTCTCGAAATTTCTGAGAGTTCCAAAAACAAAAAAAAAGGAAAAAGAGCTGCGTACTTGAGAAAAAATGGATTAGCAAATTGCATCACATCAGATAGTATTTTGATAGCTGATGCTGATAAAATTTCAAACCGAAACATTAAAAACAATCGCCACACAATTGATGGTGGTTTTAATTTATTTTTTCTGAAAAAGATGATTAAATTGAAAGTAAACAAAACTGAGCTTATTTTCTTTAATTTAAAGTCATACTTTTTGAAATATTTAGAAGTGCTGTTGTTTTGTAGCGTGTTTTCATAAATTTTCTGTCTTTTACGATAATCTGCAACAAATTTGATACTTTTAAATAAACACGAAAAGTTAAATTAGAATTTAAAAGACTTTCTTTAAAAAAAATTAGATTTAGTATAATTTAGCTTTGCAAAATAATTTATTTCGATCTTTTTTTTAAAATCAAACTCAATTCAAAAAATAATAATGTCTCGACACTCTAATACTATTCTTTTTAGAAATAAAATAAAATTTCGGAACTTTTGGTCTAGGAGGAGTAAAATAAAATGTGCATTCTTGCTTAATGAGAAATCTCAATACCAACTCTCAATAGCGGGAGTCCATAGTTTTTCCCATTTGGCAGACAGGTATGCAGCAGTACTGCCGTCATTAAGCTGATATAAGTCATCAATAACCAATGTTTTTCGAGTACCCAACAGTTGAATTTTTGTGAACCACCAAAACAATAAACGATTCAGGAATGAGCTATCCAATTCAGGTGACAGATTCTGGAACATATATATTCTCGTCTGTTGAGAAATCTCATTATGAATTCTGTACTGCGAGATTCCACAGTGCTTCCCATTTGGCAAACAAATACCATACGAAATATTGATAAGAAATTAGCATAATTCCAAATTGTTTACATTTTTCCCTCACAAATAACACTCACTTATTTGCACATTATCAACAAATTACAATTTTCTGAAATGCAAATCAAATCACAATTCATACAAATCATATTGCAATACGAATGTATTTTAATATTTTTGATCATATCATAACATTATCAAAATAGTAATCAACAATTCAACTTTTTTCGAGTTTTTAAAAATTTATTCAAAATTTTTTGGTTTTTATTGCTTTTAATATATAATGAAATAAATGTCACTGTGACGTTAGCAATACAAATGAAGTTTCATTAGAATATTTTGAAACTAACTCTTCGTACCCAAAAATAGCAGTTCGAGCAGATTCAGCAATCTGAACTTAATGGCACTTTTCATCTAATTTTTTTTATTTTTCAACTACGCAGAAAATTAGATAATTTGTGGATTCCAATTGATTTCCGAGTAGACTAAATTCGAACAGTATTCTGAATTTTCTTTCATGTTACTGTAAATAAATTCAGACAAATACCAGTTTTTTTCTTGCTTCAATCAGAAATGGCTCTCGACAATCAGCAAAACAAAGCAGTAACGTTTGAATGATGAGAAGTGGGTACCACATCTGGTAAAGGACAAAACAAGCCTTATCCAAGTCTTGCATTGACTGAAAAAAACCTGCTGTAGATAACTTGGCCAAATATTCAAATATCTCATATCCCTTGGCTCCAATAGCTTGCAACATTCCGTTTTCCATACAATCATTAGAATTTGATAACTTCTATCATTTTACTCGAGAAAATTGTTCAAGTTTCAGATAAAATTAAAAGTTCTCAAATCTTCATGAAAAACACAAACCATAAAATTGCTAATTTGTTGCCATCCAAAAAAATATTTCGGAAAGTCACATAATGTAAAAAATATCATCGTAATATGTATTATTCCAGAGGTAATCATACCATTTTTTCGTGCCATTAAAATGCAGCAAAATAGGCCCAACTGAAAATACTAAAAGGCTTATATATTTGATTTGATAAAATTGGAACAATAGAATACTCTAAAATAGGTTAATAATTAAACTGACCAAAGTAAGCGCTATAATTGTTGGGTACAAAAGGTCAATGAATGGTTTATTTGCGATGCTTCCATTATAGTACAGTCTAATAATAAGCCTTGCAAGTACATTTATTAGCAAACACATCATTAATGCCTAAAATATTTTGATATACGATTAGCTTTGAGGTTATTAACAGTTAACATTTTATCATTGCTGCTCAAACGGTTCTATAAAAACTGCTTTATAAATAGTCATGCTAGATTTATCCATTAATTATCCGTTATAAGCCTTTCATATACTTTGATTATTCATTACTGTTGCTTTTACAAAAAAGATTACAAAAGATTTACAGTTTTAGCAATTAGTAGAATAGTCCATGGTAACGGATGAGAGCGCACTCCACCATTTACTCGTATCCGATAAATTTGAGCGTAAAAAACTGGTAGCAAAAGCCAGAAAAATATACACGGTACAACAGGTAGGACAGTGACGCAAAAACAATCAAAGTCATCTTGTACAGTTTCATTCAAATTTTTCTGAAATTCACAACATTTGTCTAAAACATACAAAAGTTTACAGCAGATTGTGTTGTTTTTGCATTTAATAAATCGTTAAAGAGTTCAAAAAGATTTTAATGAATGAAAATTTTCTTGAAAAAAAAACTAACATTGCAATAGTCACGGAGCATTCCAAACAATTTCATAATCAAACTTTTTATCACTTTATTGTTATCGGAGCACTGAAATTATTTGATCAAACATACAAAATACTATGAAATGTATTGCAAATGGAAAAGTGCAATAAAGAATTATAGAAATTTTAAACAATACTTCATACAATCTGTATGAAGTATGTTCAAAAAAAAATTAAAAATCGAGTCATTTTGTTTTAATGAAAAGTTTTGATAAAATATTTATGAGAGATATACTTCTACTAATAATAGATTAAATGAAATGAACAGTTGAATTCAGTGCATTTTGACTCATTTGAAGAAATTTGAACTATAAAAAGTTCAAAACTTAATCAATTTAGTTTATCGATAATAATACTTATGCTATCTTTATCAAAAAAAACTATCATCTCTGTGGGCAACGTCATAAATTTGCTCACTACAAGTTGGGGAAAGATCACATTCCATTGCTATTCAAAATAAAAAACGCATTTTACTATGAATCTTTGTCAAATTAAAGACAAAATATTGGAAGGAGAGAGATCACGACACTCATTGGTTTTGTAATTAAGGATGGACAAAGTTCAATGCGTTTTTGATTGAAGCGCCCTTTGTACGTGTATTGAAGTCGACAAATAGTGAAATTGTAAATAAGGGCAAATGCGATTATTGCAACAGCAATGCTGACAAAGCCTGTGAAAAATATTATTTTTTAATAGAAAAAAAGTTTAAAGAGTTATTCAGACGTGTTTTTATTGAAAGATTGTAAGTGAAGAAGTTAGTGGATTAGCCATAAGACTTATAATAATCAGTGTAGCTATTTTACCAACTTTTTATATGATAACCAATTAATATATTATCAGTTAATTAATAAATTTGAAAAATCGTTTAGAATTGTTGCCTTTTAAATGGATTGATAGCTCGTTTAGCATAAAATATATTTATTTATGGAAAAGGATGAAATGATAATGTATGGATGTAATGATGGTAAATGAATTGTCATTTTTACTGTTGACAAGGATCAAGGAGATTAACTTTACAAATATGAATAATGAATTGTGGGCGGTTGTTTTAAAACATTGATCAATTTACAACATAACAACACAACAACACTAAAAGTGAACAAAATTGTTTGAGAAAGATGGAAGGGAGAAGATAATTTACGGTCTCTCATCGCTTCCATTTCTTCTTCGTCTTTTTGAGCAAAAACTTATTTTACAAACAACAAATATTAAAGTATATTAAAGACATTTACTTGATAAAATTTCGTTCTTTTAGTACTTTCGATGCTAATTTATTTAATTATCTGAATTCATGCTCACTCTTCTATAATAAATATGACCAGGCGACCATTATTTGAAAAAAGAAATCAGTAATCAAATAAATAACGGCTAATAGCTGAGTTAACGTTATCGATGACAGCGTTTAGTTACACTCAATAATTTTTTTTTTGCTTATCGAAATTATTTTGCTCTATTTTTATCTACATAAAACCAAACCTGGGTAAAAGAAAAAATAAACAAACAAAAAAACATGTTAAGGTATACAGATTGTAGGTAATCTGTATACCTTAACATGAATCACAGTGATAACAGTTCTCGTAATATTGCATACGAGAGATCATTTTCACTTCTTTATCATCAATTGATATTTCTCTTTTTTTGAAGAAAGTAAATATTCATTTATCATAGTTTTCTCTTTTTTTGTTTGCAAAGTAACAGTAAACAATGTAAATGAACAGTGTCTATTCCGTTCTCATAAATTACTAATAAATAATCATCCTTTTGAGAAGAAGCAATAAGCGCATAGCTTTTGATTACTCATTTCATAATTAAGTAATAAATTAATTCTAACTTTTAGTGAAATCACAATATCAAGTAATATGGGATTTGTAGAGTGTATTATGCCCACAATTACTATATGTGCGTATGAATGAATGTCACTGTACTGAAATTATGTACCAATCAGAAATATATTTTAATATAATGAGAATTGATAGGATAAAAAAATATGACAAAAGTTGAAATGTTTGATATGTAAATCAAAAAAAAAGAAAGAATATTATTATCAATTTAATTCTCATTCTACCAGACACTATTCCGATTAATGGTGCATAATTCTGATGTAATATTATTCATGCGTGAATTTTATGGTTTTATTGAAGTTGAATTAATTTAATAAATCAAATCAATCAATTTTGACGTGTTATTGGACTGAATTATTTTTTCTGACTTTTGGTGAAGTGATGCATATTTATTGGAATTTTGTGCGGTTAAAGTTAACTAAAAAATTTTTTTTGGTAGTTCACCAAAAATAGATCAGAAGCATCTATTCGTGTGTTTCAAATGAAAGTTGAACTTTTACTTAGCTTATAAGTGAATAATCACACAGTTTAAAATATTCAAAATATATTAAATAATTTTTGAAATTCAATTAAAATTTTCTTTACCAAACAATACTGACTTCATAATTACATCGCATCTTCTAAAACACCAAAATAAATATTGCCTGCTTCTAAATTATGTTTTACATGGATTTTTACGAAATTTCGCCAAAGTAAATTAATACCTAAATCATATGAATAGGAAAACACGATAAAAACAAATTAACAACTATTAATGAATACATTTCAATGTAAATTTAAATCAATGATACCATCATAAATGATCAAGGTTTGAAAAATCTAATATGAAATATCATAATTTTTATTATTTCAAAAATATGGAGATTGAAATTTGGGTTGTTTCCTCTGGAAATTATTTGATGAAAATCACGTGGTCCAAACATTGATAATTTTTCCTTTCCTGGAATTTCCCACTTTTTGTTATCCTTTATTTTTAAAAGGAATGTTAAATAGTCAGAAAGAATTTAAAAACATTAAAAATTGGCAAACAAATTGTTAGCATTTCTCATCTTTCAGAAATGGACTTAAACTACCAGCAGAGGAACTGCTACAGCTTTCATCTCGAATACCGCTATCAATGCTACCGTTGGATATACGGGTATCTGTGGTACCAAATGTTTGCTTCATGGTTGTTCTTGTTGATGGAAATGGTTTAGGTTGACAAGATGTGGGATAAGTTAAATCTCTTCTTGATATCGTATCATTTTCGGTTTGCGATAAATTTTCAATCTGCTGCTGATGCAACTGCTCGCAATGTTGCGACAATCGCGATAATCGACGATGCTAAACAATTATAAAATAATAAATGATGGCATGAGGTTTTTTAATTAAAGGAAATTTGAAGAGAAAAAAAACTGTAAAAATTGTACTTCTTAACAAATGTAATTATTTCAAATGTAATTACGTTTAATTTCTTCTGAAGTTTAATTCCGTTTAATTTCTTAAATAAACTAGCAAATGTAATTTGTTCCAAAATCTACTAGATTTATTGGAAATAAATAAATTTATGAGAAACGAGTAACTATTTGGAAAGAAAGTTAAATTAGAAAGAATAGATGTTAGAAAATGATACCAATTTTTCATTTGTTGACATTCGATTGCAACTTTTTGGCGGAATTGGTATACGAAGGACAGAATTTTTGCGAGAAAAGTATTGCTTGTTTTGATTCTCTTTCGGTTCATCATCCACATATAAATTTGTAATTGCTGATATCGAATTATCAAATGTTGTTTTCATCCTATCATTACACCACCATTCCTAAAATTAAAAAAAAACTGGCCATTTATTTTAAAGAAAAAGTGCCAATTTTAAGTAAAATAAGTTTTGACTTTTCAGTAAATTATGAATTTTATTAAGTTAGCGAATATAATTCATAATTTGCTCAATGGCAATAACTCTTACTCAAAAAACTTTTTGAAACTATGAATTTTTTATTAGCTAATAAATTCATATTCTCTAGTTAATAATAAAGACGATTTTGGAAATTGCTTCATGCCTGCTATTTTTAGCTCTTTGCACATTTATCTTGGCTAATTTATAAAGAAATGGTAACAAACACTTTCTCGAAGATAAGAGCTAATTTAATCAATTTATCTATCTGTTGCTTGCAAACCTCATCGTCATCATTTTCTTCCTCCAATGAATTCAAAGATAATCGACTACAACGATTTGCTTGGCTTCTGGATTTCAATTCCTGAATGGAATCTCCAAGTGCTAATAATTGTTGTAGCAGACGAACGTCATTTTCCATCAGTGAGATCTGTAAACAATTAAAGTAAGATTAATGAATAATATTTATAATAAAGAATAAAAAACCTGAAGTTTTAAAAAATTTAAACTCAAATAGAACTTATAATTTCAACCAAAGTGTAATTTAATGATTCACTTATATCTACCACATATATATTCTCAAACACGATCAGCTTTTATCCCACCTGGCTTTTGTAATCCAATTTTTCACATTTTCTTTGAATTGCTCTAAATACATTACAAAATGCATGCTAACATCGATATGCTCT